ATGTTTTGATCTATAATTAGAAAGCATGTTATTAAAAAAAAGGAAAACGAAGTAAAACGCTTCTTAATTTTTTATGCCTTGTAAATATCTAGTTGAAAGTTTGAATGAGGTATCTTATTAGATTTTATTTATAATGGGGATGTTTTGTACACGTATAACAAACGAACAAAGGTTAAATGTTAAATGTTTTAAACAATTATAACATAGCCTACGGTTAACCAAATTAATATAAATAAACTACATATTTGGCGGTTGAAATTAATTTTACGTTGATATAAGATGTATATTTTATTATTTAAAAAAATACATATATTTTTTTTTATGATAGATTCTCTTTCATTATTTTGTTTTAGTATTTAAACTTGAGGCATGCGAAATGTTACGATAGGATAAATCGTAATCACTGTCTAGTCTGATGCTAGTGTTTTCCTTGTATATAAGTGATTTTTCGTTTGATATTATTTATTATTATATAACGTATATACGTATCTATAAAGTATATATATATATATATATATATATATATATATATATATATATATATATATATATATATATATATGCATAGCTGTATTTCAGTTTGAAGGGTGGGGTTTTTTTTTCTTTATACAATGGATACGGTAGTGAAGTTACAGAGCATTATTTACGAGTCGACCGTAGACAGGAATAAGAAAATGTAATTGACGGTGCAACGTAATGAATAATATTAAATTAAAACAGTAATTTAAAAATAAAGTACATATAACACTCATTTTATCTGCATTATACATATTTTTTTATGCCACTTAGAATGGCAAACAAGCTGACGGCCCACCTGATGGAAAGTAGTAACCATCGCTTTTAGACATGAACAATACCATGGACATAACAGAGTATACTGTTTTGCCAATGATACTCCAAAACGTTGAAAAACATTTGATTAAAGATTGCAAAACTTATAATTTTTAAAACCCGAATGACTTTGAACAAATATTCTGTTGTGAAAATAGTATGTGGAATATCTATTTTAACAACTTTAATTTGAAAATTAATCAAGTTTGATTATGATTTCGAAGAACCTAAACCCATTATAAATTTCAAAGCGGATATATCACCGGAAAGATAAAATCAATTGAAAAAGAAAGCGCCATTAAGTGTAACTGATAATTTTGAGTGAATATTAACACTTTAGTGGCATAGTTGTGCTAATTGTATTAAACTTTATTGAACCTTAATAATATGAACCATAAAGGTGAAAATGAAATAATGTGCCCTCAAATAGAAATAACTCGACCATCATATAATAAATGCTACAAATATTGTAATTTGAATCATGACTTTACTTTCAGTGATTTCACTTTTATTAGGTCGGCTTAAGTGGTAATGTATAATGCGTAATATTTTTTACTATTTTTTTTTTTTTTATTTGGTTATATATAGTATATTATTTTTTACTATATTATTTTAAAAAATACTGAAGATATTGAAATCTATTTTGCTTTCAATATATGAAGTTAAAACCCAATAAGAATACCCTCTCATTTGAAAATTAGGGTTCGGGTTCTTGTTGGAAGTACAACACCCCTGAATTAGATTTTGGATCCCATATTGACATGATGGCTACAGTCACATTTTATCATCCCACCGCTCGTCATCGGCAGGGAATTCATTCTCACACCTTAGAACGAAAATGGTCACACACAGTGTAGTCTTAGAGAAGTGATTTTCCTGTCGAGGTTTCTCTTAGAGACTACAGCATCTGGTTCTTCAAAAAGGGCGTAATAAGGTTTCTTAAGGGTTAGAAACGTACTCGTAACATCATTGGTATTACAGATATCCATAAGCTACGGTAATCCCGTTTACCATCAGATGGATCGTATGTTTGTTTTTCACCATAATAGTATTAAAAATAAGTAAATAAAGGCATCAATGTGGAAGTAACTTGTAAAACAACATATAGCAATAAGACAGTTTGAATTGAATTGAATCCCAAGGGACTAGGAGATCACTATAGACAAAGTTAAAGTCAAGAGATCAGTCTCGTGAGATGGAAAATGTCAATTTCTTATGTAGAGAGACCTCTGCTCTGTATTAGAACGAGAATAGGTTGTTTTTGTTATGTTTATTATTTAAATAATTAATCCAAAGATTACGTGATATTTGTTTTTGAAAAGCTATACATATAGGTGCCTTCTAGACAAATATTACTTCAATAATTCATGTCAGTCGTTGACTGTTCACTGTTTAACATTTAAGGTATAAGGAGGGTTTTGCCAGTAGTTGCTACACTTGGCAGGCGAATTGGCAACTGCAGTTAGGTTGCTGGGTTTCCCCCCTGGCCCGGTTCGCCCCTCCTTAGTGAATGCAGTTAGGTTTTTAGTGATGTTTTAAGAAAGACGCTAATCGATTTCTCTTTCTTTAAGTACCTTTAGTCATCTCTAACGACAGCAACGGGAAAAGAAGGGGTAGCCTATTTTATGCCGGGACCACACGGCTATATCACTTATTAAGAGATAATAAGAAATTTTAATAATGCATTTGTAATTATAATTAGAAAAGAAACCCTTTAAATAGTAAAAATCTGTTTGTATCCCCGTCAGACAAGAATGAACCCGGGTAACTTCAACAATGGGATAAGAACAGGCATCCAATTAGGATTGACAGCTTTCGGGAAGTTCCGCCACATTGAAAATATAAAGAGGAAACTATCGTCTTCGGAAATATTGCTGTATTTTTATGTTTGAATGCTTTAACGGAGAGAAATGTGTTTCAAGCAATCGGCGAGTAATGTAGTTTTTTAGAAATCTGTTATGGTATTACAATAGTGAATGTTTTCGTGATTTCATATTTAAAATACTAATTCATACCCGCTTCTTCGTCTGAATGATCGGGATATTTATTTTTATCGCAACAACAAGTAGCTTATATCCTTCTCCATCCCATATAGTATGTGTAAACCAAATTTCATAGCGTTTGGTTAAGACGCCACAAGATAACAAATAAACTCACTTTCACATTTGTAATATTAGTAAAGATGTATGTATGTCCGAGCATCGAGTGCTAAAAATTCTACCTACTAAAATCGACCCTCTAACTATTGGCTGACGAGTTTTTTTTTTTATTTTATACTGTGCAAAAGTATTATTCTGATAAAATAAAATATATAAATATTAAAATGACAGGTTGTGCAATTCAAAGATTACAAGATTAAAATAATTCACCAGAGGGAGACTTTGTACAAAAGTCGATTGCTTGGGTACCTCTGTCCCATTCGTGTTTCTACCGTGAAGCAGTTGTGTTTGCATGGCTGTGTTTCGGTTTGAAGGGTGGGATATGGCGTGAATTTACTGGGTACAGAGGAATAACATCTGAGTCCTCGGGAATGGCAACGCATGAGGGGTATCATGGGCGAAACAGTATACTCTGTTATGTCCATGGTACTGCTCATGACTATAGGCGGTTACCACTTTCCATCAGGTGGGCCGTCAGCTTGTTTGTCATTCCAAGTTGTATAAAAAAAAAAAATATACATTTCGAAAAGGGAATCATTTTTAAAAAGAATGTTGGTTTTCTTATTCTATTATTTTTTTTCTTATTTAATTGATTCGAATATTTGGTATAATATGTAGCTACAGCTTGATAGGCTTAAACGTTTATAATATAAAAATAATATGGCAGTTTTATAAAAGCCATAAAAAAGAATTTACAGATTATTCTGTCAAAAATTTTCAAAATAAGTTACGCTCTATAAAAAGTCAGTTATGTCATGGATACGTGATGCGTTAGATGGCGTTATATCCAAGCAATTTGGGCCAGGTAGAGCTTAGATAGGTATTAAGTATAAACGGCTATGATTTATCTAGCGGGGATGGTGGGACTCATGGCGGGGCGCGTACGTGCAATGAGTAGACTGTATATTATACATTGAAAGGTTTTATGAGCTACGGTAGATTTATAAATTATTCATGTCTGCACCTAATCGATCATTTTAATATTATGTACTAATATTATGAGAACTTTGTTTGAAAATGTACAGGTGAATCCAAAATTATGACCATCTTTTAAGCACATGATGGAAAGTGGTAATGGTCGCCTATAGACATGAGCAGTACCATGGACATAACAGAACATACTGTTTCGCCCATGATTTCTCCTATTTCTGAAGACTAAAGTGTTATTCCCCTGTACTCTGTAAATGCACTGCTATATTGAGCCTTCAAACCGAAACACAGCCATGTATCTGTGTGTTAAATTTATATTGTGTTTGAATAACAAATTACATATATTTTCTCATTTATAGTATCAAGAGAATATCAAATTAGAAAATTAATCGAAGAAATTTCTTAATAAATTTGATCTTATCTTGTAGTAAATTTTGACATAATTTTATATTAATATTTATATCATAATAATATAAATACATTGAATATTTAAATAAAAATCGTAAAAGTAATTAAAAGAAAAATTCGTTTATATTTTGAAATATATAGTTAAGTAAGGTGAATTTAAAATTATTGATCATATTAAGTCGGTATTTTTTAATGGATGATAATAGAATAGTAACACTGTGCTATCGATATGCACAGAATGAAAGCAGGTCAGTTGGCCTATCGTGACGAATTCATTAAAAATTAACCACAATGGTTTCTACGAAGGGTCACAGTTGTTACGTCTACCTTCACGGTCGAGGTTATATTACTAGCAATGGGGCTGCCAGCCCTGTTACTAACAATCAAGGGGGTGCTCTACCAATGAAATTAAATATTTGCATGAGCTGACTATTTTTAATTCCTCATACTAATACGGCACAGTAAACATAATTTATATTACACACGAATAAATCACGTTTCACTCTTATTTTCAGCGTTATTGACAAGTATTTTAATTTCAGTTTAGACTTCCGCGATACAACAAATTCATTTTGCAACGGTTTGCGCACAACTACGCCAAACTCGTCTTGATCCTTGCATAGCTACCTTGTGCAACGCCGACGCCTTGTAGTTCTACCGGCGGCCGCATGTCGCTCTCATCGCGTCAGTACTGTCTAGCACTTGTGTGATACGGACGTATACTGCTCGCATATTAGAGCTCTTACGCTGCACACGAAACAAGTTTTATACTTTACATACCAGAAATTTCTAATCTAACAATTAAAACAAATAAAAATCATGATCGATTTGAGTGTATTAGTGCAAAAAACATTTAATTCGTCGCGGTAGAGACGTTTCTTGTGCATTTTGTGATTACTTTATCAACTTTATCGGATGATACAATACAAGGTGTAACAGAGACTCGAGTGTAATTGTTTATTATTTTGAAACAAAGACTTTCCGTTGAAGACGTGAAGTTTAAATAAAACTCTGTTTTCTTGGTTTTCTGAGGACGCAAACGAATAGTGTGTTGAAAAGAGACAAGATGAGGGCCCAGCGCGTTAGAGCGACAGGTGTGGCGGCTTTAGTGGTTTTGTTGGCATCAATAACAGGTAAGTTAGTTTTATACTGTTTTAAATTTCTGATATTACTTATTATATCATCAATATTAGAATTTGTTTAACAATCTAAAGTTTTTCGTTCTAAGTTAGTTACTAAGTTTAACTAAGTATGTATTTGTATAAAAAATATATGTTGTTTACTTATTATTTTATGGTTATGTTGGTAACACATGTATGATAGTGATTCATGCCATTTGTAGAAATTATCTGATTAGTGATTATCAATACTTTATTATTATTGTATTAATCGTAATAAAAGATTTTTGTCCAAAGATAGTAGCAGACTTATTTGAATTTATAATTGTGAATTTCTTATTTTTTTTGGGATCCTTAAAGTTGACCGTTGCACTTAATCTATATAATTATTTGTATTGAGGTAAATAATCATTTAAATTTTCAATTGTTCATTTTTAAATAAGTAATGGACAATAGTTTATTTTCATTAATTATATGACTTTCATTATTGACTTAATTATTTTTAATTAATATATTATAACTATTACTATTATGGGTGAATTTCATTAGTCAATAGATGGAATCTGTAATGGTTTACAATAAATGATAGTAAATATCTTATTTATGATTCAGAAATAAATCGATATTTATATGTACATATTTAATGTAAAAACATCATTATTATGTTAGGTTATAGCTACCTATTACAAATAAAAAATCTATGATTATATCTATAATTATGACTGTTTGCACAAATGTACATTATTTGTGCAAGAATTAACGCTATATATGCATACATATATAAGCTTTATACACATATATGTATGCATATATACAACATATAAAAAATATTTCCAGATTTTTAATCCGGAAATATTTTATATACCTATAAAAATATCTCCAAGAAAATTATTTTTTTATATTCATTAAACACCAAGATCGATTTTAATATACTAAAATTTACAATTTAAAAATAGTAATTTTCATTCGAAAAATTTTAATAGGGGTAGGTACCTATATACGAGTACAATGTTTGGTCAGTGGATACCTTTAGTTTTTTTATAATATGAAGGTTGGTACAAAAAAAAAAATAAACAGTTAAGCTAAAACGTGACCGCAAGCCAAGACCCAGTTGTGCAAAAACCATTGTCGCCCGTTAACCGAACAGATGGTACAATACTACGGAAACTCACTTTCGTGGAACAATTGCGAATTCTGCCACATTTGTTCTGGGCTCGTTCGTGCGTTACTTTCTCGTCTGACCGTCAGGGAATCAATCAATCGGAAATCTGTATCCGTCCGTTTATTTTATTGTGACTCGAGCTTGTTGCATCGTTTGTCTAATATTTATCTAAATTGGACAAGCGTATAATGATTAATCTCTTTGAAGCCTTTACCAGATTTACAAAGTGACTGAAAGAATGAGAAAGTGTCGGAAAATAGAGTTCGACCATGCAAAAGGATTCTTTTCCTCTTAGACTTTCAAAAATATGCTACATTTGCATTTTACGAATGCTCTTAGACCATCTTACCTCTCTTGACTGCATTCGTTAACAATTTGTACATTGACCCTGTAGTGTTCTTTAGTTTAAATATACTTGGTTTTATGTTCCAGCTCTTATGTGCTTTGTGCTTTTACAATTTAACTCCACTTTCATATTAATACAAATAGTTGAAATTAAAATAAAAATTGAAAAATATATAGATGTCTAAAAAGATATCAAATCAAAGCAACTACGTTCACTTAATGACACAGCAGGGATTGCATTAACTGCGTGAGAAACTTTTACCATTATTTGATTTAATTGACCAAGACCGCTATTATATGGAAATTGAGTTAATACTAATGTAGACCGATATTACATTACCCAACAATATGTAACTCTCCCGTTTTGGGGTAGATATAAGATTATTTGATCTCATTTTGTTAGATGTCACTTCTTTTGCTTAATTTACGTTCATTTAATCGTTCTTTTAATTTTTTCATACTATATAATGAGAAACATCATCAATATCAACAGCTACGTTAGATTCATTAATTACTTTAATTACTGTATGTTACTTATCATTAAGTATTACAATAATGGCTACATATACCGATATTCCTTTATGATCTAAGTTACAATTAAACCATAATATTGCTTGATTAACATGTGTACTCAGATACTGTGTACACGAATTCCAAACATCTGCCATGTCATTACCCTTACTCATTTAGACTGTTAACGTTGTGAGATTCTCGTAATGGCATGTTGATGGCTCTTTCCCGACCATGACCGTTTGCCAAACGGTCATGAACAGCGGTTGAAACAACAGAGATAGTATTTGAAGTAGTTAAGATGTTATCTTAACTATCAGACAAGAATATTAATATAATTTCTGGAAGCCGAAACTGGAGACAAATTATACGCTTCACGTGAAATAAACTTTCGTCTCTCATCAGCCAGTTAATAGAGTAGTCTAGTTGACAATTTATGTGTAATTACATGCTTCTAAATCTTCTTGAAGGTAACTTTGAACTTGCCGTATTTTATAAGACCAAAACTACATAATTTAGTTTTGTTTGTATTGGTTATAGACTTAGAATCAAGTATTCTGTTGACTAGATAATGATAAGATAATAATTAGTAATTATACGGTAGAATATAGTTTTTTAGTTGGATATTTTGATGCAAGCTGTTAACTTGCATCAAAATATCAAACTTAACATAATAAGGATAAGGTATAACTATCTTATGCTTTAACAAAATATTTAAAATAGAAATATATTTTGTGAAAAATAACGAAATTACCAAGCACATGATTTCATTTCATTTATATTCTATTGTTACAAGAGTGCTGAAATTTATTACGAGTTATGATGATGGATTATCTTTGTGTAAAATGAAAAGCTTTGATTTTTTTCATAGTTTGGTTAGACACCAAATATAATACTTTGTATATTTTGATCGATATATTCAAAGAACTATAAGAATGTTAACATAGTATTTATTCAGAGCTTACTGAACGCAAATAACTAAGCTGATTGAGTCAGTTATATTATGTGCTATATATTTTTTAAATTCTTTTAGTTGTGCCTTGATACCGGTTAAAGATGTTTTAAAATCGTAATAATTTAGTTCTTTTTCTTTTCAACATTTTGAATTGTTAATAGTAAGTAATTTACAATTAAAATTGACTTGTATTTATTATTAAATCATACAAGAGATAAATTGATATTTAGCTTTGTTCATTAATATTTTATAATAAGCTTAAGTCTGATGGATAGAAAGAAAATTTAAAGTTTGCGTACAATATAAACATAAGCTGCTGCTCATTAATTAAATTAAATTCTTAAAACTTGTTTAAATAGAAAAATGTGTTCTATGGACATTATATGGTAGAATTAAAACTAGAATAAAGTGACAGTTCTATATTTTTTAGTTTTCTTTAAAAATAGTATTTATTTTATTTCTTATCATTCTTCGTAAATTTTTGGGGATTTTTTTCTTTAGCCTAATAATGTTTTTGATTGTTTTAGTTTTATACTCCTATTTTTATTTTATTATCTGAGATCAGGGCAATACTTACATTTTCATTTTTCATTCATACTTACCAGACATTCTTTTTGATCTCTTTGATGTAACATAAATCTTCTTTGTTAACTTTCTTATTCAGAACTTTCCTTGATTCATACTTTCGTGGTCTCCGCACAAGTTAGCCGTATCAAGACAAATCGTTGGAAATATAATTCCTTCAATATATGTTTAAAGCAACAATTATAAAACCGTAATGAAATCACAGATTAAATCTTTTTGAAATGTGTTTACAAAGCGATCTATGAATAAATTTTCAACAGTTGAAAAGTTTTTTGTGGCAAGTAACTTTTTGTACAATTAGAAGTAGATACTTATAGAAGTTACATTTTCTCTTGTGTTGCAACTTGACCACTAAACCGTAAATGGTTTTGTAATTTTGACTGTGTACGTAAATGAATCACGTCACATTTGCCACCAACAGTACATTAATTCGTGATGTGGGTCGATGTGATGTATCACACGTGAACGTTGTCAGTCTTCTTAACACGTTTTAAACGCTACGTGACAATATAATCCACGATTTTACTAGGCAGTCATAATGTCTTCACATATAGTCGGATTGCTTCGCTTAACGGTATGATGAAAATAAAAACAGTCAATTCCTGGTTGTCAAGCTACAGTTCACTAGTTAAATCTTTTTAAGCGACTTCAAAAATAAGCAGTCTTTCAATTTGGTTGTATTTTTTTATTTTTTATGTTTGTTACCTCATAACTTCGTCAGTTATAAACCGATTTGCAAAATTTTTCTTTTATTTGAAAGATTTTTTTATTGGATGAAAATGGAATGGTAACCCCGTCTGCGTTAACGGGATACGTTGGCGGGGCACCAGTGAAGGGTGATCGATGAGGATGAAAACAGGTCAGTTAGCCCATGATGATAAATTCATCTGGAATTAATCATGATAGTTGGAAACTTCCAAGGGGAACCGCGAGGAGGTCAACCTGGTTGGGTATATTGCTAGCAATGGGATTCTCAGTCTCCATTACTAACAATCCCTTTCCCCCCTATCTGAAAGATTAGGCCCACAGAAATTTTATTAAAATTGATTCAGTAGTTTTTAAAGCAAAATAATTGATTTTGCTACAGTTGAAGTCGTTTCTTATGGAACGCAATCTAAAATTATTTTTATTTACACTTTATCTTTCCTATCTCTCTCATATCATTGTTGTAATAACATTTATCTATCTTAATTATTAACTGAACTGTTCAATCAACTGGTTGTAATAATGCACGCAATAAGAAACCAAACTAGGAACCATCTATGCTCATCCTATTTAGAAAAGTTAATTTCCTAATTTCCTAAATTGAATAATAGAACTCGTTATGTGGCCTCGTTTAGTTGCAGGAGCGTGCCTTAGGAATTTAATTACATAATTAAATAATATCTAAATTATATCAAATGCACTTTAACTGTTATTGTTGTGATAAATATAGAAAAATGTAGGTAAAATGTAACA